CCACGGTTGGTCTTCTACAGTTGATATTTGAAGATACGAGGCCCTCAACCTAGACGTAACATGGAGTCTTCACGGCTGATGGCACTCAGTGGACTTGTCCTTCATGAATTTATCCCATCTCTAGTTAAAAGCTGTCCAAGATAATGGCCCACATCACTGTTCTTGTTGGAAGTTCAGGAAATCTAGGAACCGGTTTGTTGGGTCAGGCCAACGCCTATCCTAGTTCAACATTTGGTTTCTCCTTAACTTGATACCTGCAGATGTTCACCAGGAGAAGATGGAGACCCACCTCTCTCCTCCTATGGTTGATGTTTGGAAGCACGCTGGACCCAACCTAAAGGGAACATGGAGTCTTCGTCCTTGTGGCACCTGACTCTTTGAGTGTATTCAACCTTCTCTTAAATTGGCCATCTTGGTGGCCATCACATCTTGTAGCAATGAATTCTGCCGATGAAGGATGCACTCTGCAAGTGGATTGTTGCCCATGGATTGTTGCATAAGATCGTTAGAAAAGCAAAGACACCAGCCTGGCAACCAAATATAGGTTAGTTTGCTCCATCATGTTCCCATATATAGCTACCTACAGTTGTTAAAGTTGGACCTTAAAAACGCAAGGCGGGAAGAAAGTCGACTGGTTTGAGCGGTGCTGCTGGAGAAGGCCCCTGCGTATTCCTTGGACAGGAAAGGGGACCAACAAGCAAGTCCTGGAGTGCATCACACCAGACATGTCACTGGAAGGCAAAATCACGAAATTGTGTCTCACTTATTTTGTGTCTCACACTTATTGTGTCTCACTTATTTTAAGACCTCGCTTGGAGGTCTTCTAGTCCAATTCCCTGCTCAAGCAGGAGAACGTATGCTATTTCAGACAAGTGGCTGTCCAATCTCTTCTTAAAAACCTCCAGGGATGGAGCATCTACGACTTCTGGAGGCAAGCTGTTCCACTGATTAATTGTCCTCACTGCCTCACTGTCAGGAAGTTTCTCCTTAATTCCAGGTTGCTTCTATCAATAATAATAATAATAATAATAATAATAATAACAACAACAACAACAACAACAACATCTGGCTGACTGTGCAGTGAATAATAATAATAATAATAATAATAATAATAATAATATCCCAAAAAAACTGGAGCACCACTTGAACACCATTGGCATTGACAAATTCGCCATTAGTCAATTGCAAAAGGCGGCCTTACTAGGAACTGCTTCCATCCTGCGACGATATCTGTAATACCATCAAACATCCACATCTGCCTATCCCAGGTCCTGGGTAAGGACTCGATAGGTAGACAACATGCCAAATCCAGTCTGAACATCTGGCTGACTGTGCGATGATCCATAATAATAATAATAATAATAATAATAATAATAATAATGATGATGATGATGATGATGATGATGATGATGATGATGATGATGATGAGAACGAACTGGAGAAGATCACAAAATACAAAGACCTACAAATAGAAATAGAAAGACTGTGGCAAAAGCAAGCAAGGGTGGTAGCAATAGTAATAGGCGCCTTGGGTGCCATCCCAAAACAGCTGGAGCACCACTTGAACACCATCATTGGGATTGACAAATTCGCCATTAGTCAATTGCAAAAGGCGGCCTTACTAGGAACTGCTTCCATCCTGCGACAAGATCTGTAATACCATCAAACATCCACATCTGCCTCTCCCGGGTCCTTGGGAAGGACTCGATAGGTAGACAAAATGCCAAATCCAGTCTGAACATCTGGCTGACTGTGTGAAGATCATCATCATCATCATGATCATCATCATGATCATCATGATCATCATGATCATCATCATCAACAACAACAATAATAATAATAATAAAAATAATAATATTAAAGCTGGAAGGGGCCTTGGAGGCCATTTGAGTGAACCAGCTTGTGGTTGAACTGTTAATGGATTGATGTGTGAATGCTATCATGGTTAGACCAATTATGGTTTAGATGTGTGAATTCAGCTTGTGATTGTAAAGATTGGATCAATGGCTTTCAATACGTGTTAAAGGAAGCCATGGTTTAGATCCTGTGTGAACATAGTTGGGTGGACAGAACTTTAGAACTGTGTGAACACTATTATGGTTAGACAAGGCATGTCTGAGTAAACCCAGTTGGTGATTGTACACTTTGGCTGGATCGATGGTTTCAGATATTGTGTGAATGCTATTGTGGTTAGACAAGCCATGGCTTAAGTCTTGCTTATTTCCTTTGTGCTTGTATTCTACTCCTTGGAGATCTATCACAAGGGCGGATTCCCCTTGGAACCCTCCCTCTCCATGAATCCAGCCAGGATCCCAAACTCAGCGCCTCATAAAACATTTTTGAGGAAACCCATCAAAAGGCTTTTGATCCTTTTACATTCTTCCCGC